GGGGGGGGGGGTCCTTCTCTCAGAGCCAGAAGGGCTCAGCCTCCTCTTCTGGAGTGAAAGGACAGGAGCCCCAGGGAGAACTGTAAGCAGCTTGCCCCATCCATGGTGCCCGTCTCTGTCTTTGGTCCCCAAAGAAAACTTTCACCTCTCTTGTGCCCTGACTTATCTCTGGATGTTTGTTCCTTCCTTGGTGGATTTTTCAGAACCGACTTTGGAGGAAGACACGATCCCGAAGTCCTGGAAGCTCCTGCATTGGTGTTGATCCAAATAGAAATTGGAATGCAAGTTTTGCTGGTAGGTTGGGGAGCCGGTTTTCAAATCCTGCTACTCCTGGCTAGCCTAGTCCATGGGGCTCCAAGCTGGCGGGGCTTCAGGCGGCTCTGTTGCTGACTCACTGAGAGACTTGGGCAAATCTCATATGTCCTCTGTGTCTTGTTGTTGTTTTTTAACTTTTTCTTTTGTGATTTTGAAATGGAACAACTCAGCAATTCCTGTCCTCCTGAGAGGACACTAATATTTAAAAACCATCACAGTCTTAGATACATACATCCACGCCTCTTCCTTATACCCTGGCCACCCCAGATTGTCCTGGGTGAGTAACTGAGAGCGGTTAGCACTGTTGTTGTTTTTTTAAATGCTCACCCAAGGAGATTTATTTATATTTTATGTTATTAACTTTTAGAGAGAGGAAGGGAGAGAGAGAAACATCACTGTGAGAGAGAAACATCGATCAGTTGCTTCCCATACGCGCCCAGACCGGGGATTGAACCCGCGGCCTGGGTAGGTGCCCTGACCGGAATCGAAGCCGCCAAATCTCGGTGTACGGGATGACACGCCCACCAAATGAGCCACGCCAGCCAGGGCAAGCACTGTTATTGTGACAGGCAAGATCTGTGGTCTACCTTCAGATATGTAAATATAAACCTCAGCTCTTTGATGTGATGGAAAGAGAATGAGAATTAGGAGATGTGGGTTCTGAGTTCCTGCTATTTAAAATCATTCTCACAATAGTGCCAACTGCGTGTCAGGTACTTTTCCATATATTATCTTATTTACAATTCTTTCTACCTAGTGAGTGAATTTTAGTATCTGAAATGCGACAGTGGAAGCTCAGAGACACCTCGAGTTTATGGTTAAGAGTTCGGATCTAAACTCACCTTGCAATTCCAAATCTGAATAGTTCTCTTGCACTGTTCCTCAGATGTTTTGTTCTTAATGTACTTCTTTTACTTGCTTAGAAATACCACACAAACCATTGGGTGAAAAATAATGTGACTGTGGGAAAGGAGCTGATACAAAGTTAGGTCAGATATTCCTTAGCTGGGGTGGTTTTACACACACCAGATACCTAGGGGAACTGTATTGTGAAGTAATATTGAACACAGTATTTCTAACACCTATCAAATAATCAAGAGATTTTAGCCACAACAATAGATTATTTTGGCAGTGCTTTGCCATTAAGTTCTGAACCAAGAGAATGAGCTGACACCAGAATAAATGGAGTCATTTTCATTATTAATTGGTACTCATATTAATTATCTAGAATACTTATTAATTACATCTCATTGTCAAGTATGATATTAATTATTTATGACAATTGCTAATGATGCAATACAAGGTCAACTCTACCCTTTTAAAGGAGTCTGCTAGTTTTCTTTCTCAGCTCTGGCAGATCCAACACCCTGACTTTCTATTCCTGCACCTTCCACTTGATATACACACACCATGGGCTAGGTTCTTAGGGGCACGTAGCAGTGACCTGCCCATTGCCAATACCTTCTGCCCCTCCTCTGGGCTGTGGATCCTTCATTTCTGTTTTCTTGGCCTATGGATTAATGTTTCTGCTTGGGCTGCCCCCCACAGGAGGGGGAGCCAGTGACAATCCTTGCTCCGAAGTGTACCATGGACCCCATGCCAATTCGGAAGTGGAGGTGAAAACGGTGGCAGATTTCATTCGAGAGCATGGGAATTTCAAATGCTTCATCGACCTGCACAGCTACTCGCAGCTGCTGATGTATCCATATGCATACACTGTCAAAAAGGCCCGAGATGCTGATGAGCTGGTGAGTGATGGGCTGCCTCCCACCCAGCCCCAGGTCTGCTTAACTTAGCTGCTGCCAAGGTGGTGGTTCTACGGCATTATAGGGAAAGTCCAGGAGCATAGGCTTATTTCATTAAGGGCCCAGTCTTCTTTCCCTTCCTATCCGACCTCCTGGGGGTAGGAAGAAGATGGTGCCTTTATTTCCATGCTTGCCATGACTTCCAAGAACCATGCCTTTCCTTCTCACAGGTCTTTCTGACCAAAGCTTATTGCAGACCCACTGCTTGCCAAGAGCTGGGGGTGGCACTGTGTTGGGTGAGGGGGATGTGCTCCTCACTCCAGCTAAGGTAGAGTTTAAGTCGGTTGCAGGCCACAGCCTAGGGGTGCTCTGTGTCACATACAGCGACTCACCCTAGGAAGTGAACAGGCACAGAGGGTGGACTGCTGGAGCTGGGCTGGCATCTGCAGAGTGACTGCAGCCTTTCCCCCGTGCCAGTCGGCTTTAGCGTGCTCCTCTGCCCAGGCCCCAGCTAACCAGTAAACCACCCAGCAGATACAGAGCTCCTGGCTGGGTGTGGGCTACATTCTGGTCTCAAGTAGGCACTCTCTGTAATGTGCATCCATATATGGCAGCTCCCCTCTCTGCCTCCACTCTGGAATACCCAACTCTTAGAAGGTTTTCTCTTGAACGTCCTTGGCCTTCCCTCATGTTCATGAATGCAACATTCCATTTCCTTGGGATAGGTGATGTAGTGCCTGTACTAGATTCCTAACTGGCTGGTGTGCAGGTCTTTGGAGCGCTTGAGTGTATAATACACACACTTTCAAGGTGCATATGCGTTCCTTTCACCTTTCTCTACCCACTTCCCCAGACTAGAATTAAGAACTGGGGATGTGATGGGAGAAGGGGTTCCCCTCACTTTGTAATCAGGCCTTGACTTTAGTTGGATGGGAAAGAAGAGGAGACCAGAAGGGACAATCGGGGGAATGGCCGAGAATCTTCCAAACCATTGCAGTGCAGAGCAGCTGAGGAACATCAGGCGGCGGGACCCACTCTTTCTCACTCTGCTGACTCACCCTCCTAGGACAAGGTGGCGAGGAGTGCGGCCAAAGCTCTGGCTTCCCTGTCTGGCACTCAGTACCAAGTGGGTTCTACCTCCACCACTGTCTGTAAGTATTTATTTATTATTTAGAAAAGGCTTTGCGAGGAAACTTGAAATGGCGCGGAAGAGCTGCAAGTTAGATTTCCTATGCTGTAATCTGATTGTTTTTGTTGTTAGTAATAGACTGAAGTTATGTCAAGCCTGTGTGGTAGTCGCTGTTGCAGGCAGTCATCATCAGCATCATCGCTACTATCATGCCATTTATCACGTGCCCATGATGACTTGTCCTGCCAGCATGGTAGAGTCTGCATTCCTTAACTTCCATTAAAGACCCTGACATGATTCTTCAAAAATTCCTCAAGCCCATCATTCCATTTTCAATGAAAACCCAACTTTGGTTCGGCAGACTCAGGTGGTGGTCGTGGAGTGAATGAGACTCCCTCATCTTGCTTTCAGAAATGAACACGTGTTGGAGTGTGGCAGGGTGGGAATGGGTTAGGGGGTCCTCCCAACAGTGGTTAGCATCAAGCCAAAAAAAAAAAAAAAGAG